GGTAGGTAGGTGGGCCCCCCGGAGTTCTCGCCCCTGTGCAAATTTGGTTGCTCTAGGTCAATATTTAGGGGGGTTTTGGGGGGTATAAATGTAAAAATTTAGCTAAAAACAGGTCAAAAGTTTTTCGCCTATAACTTTTGATCTAATTAAGATAGAGCAAAAAGAAAAGCACCAGTGAACTCAGCACGTCAAGGCGCGTCGAATGATATACTTTTTAGCTTGCTCAAGTGTACTTAAAGTTTTTCTTAAATTTTAAGTAAACTTAAACTAATAAATTAAGTTCAAATTAACCAAATTGCATCATATCGCATATCATTTGATTCGCCTGATCACCAGGAACACAATGATACCATTTTTTAAGCTCTAGCGTCATTATGTGCCAAGTTATTGGCAAAAACGTCATTTGACCGCAGTTGACCTCATTTGACCTGACCCATGGATAAGTACACAAAACAAAGAAGCACCAAGTGTCCTGCTGTTAAGTACCGTGGTTTCAAAGCACAAAAGTGATAAAACGAAGCGGACATCTCCAGTATTTTCCGAATTTAGTATTTTCCCATAGGCTTAACATTACGACGTAATGACCTCTAACTGACCTCAGGTCAGTGACCTCAAAAAAAACCGGACTATATGTTATACAACTCGGTGAACTTAGCACATCCTGAAAGTTTGAAGGAAATCAGTCGAAAACTGTGAGTTGGACAGGTGCATAAAGAAAATTGAAATTTGACCATGACCTTGTACCGGTTTTTCTGACCTGGTGACCTGACCCAAGGTCACCCGGACCTGAAATTTTCAGGTCATATGTAAAAAGATTGCCCCATAGGCTGTGCCAAATTTGGCGGCGCTGCGCGCCGCCGTTTTTACGCTATCTTCGAAAAACCTTAGGGGGGGGGGTCGCATCGACCCCCCCTGCCAGGGCGAGGGATAATTATGCTTGGTGACGAAACAATGCAGTAGGTAGAGGACATGATGCATCGATCCTTCTAGACAACAATATTACCAAAGCAATGCAACACACATCTACTTTAGTGCGCTTACCCCACTAGCTTTCACTGAAGTAATTTTCAACGCTTGAATGCACCCCTAGAAAGGTGGTGCAGTCCGACGTCCTGCCCCTTCTCCAGTCACCTCCCCTCCCCTGCCCTGCCCTCCCCCCCCCCGCTGGGCGTCGCTGGGCCGAAGGTTGCAGGTGTCCTTCGCCGTCACGCTTCCGTGCACCAGACACGCGCTCTGCCACCTCTGACACTGTCACGTGATGCGTGCTAATACCCTACTTGTAGGTCACGTGGTCAGGCGCCGTGTCGGGCAGCAGGGGTCGAGTGGAACTAAAGGTATCACAGAATTCCGAACGGTCATGATGTGAATGAGTGATTGCTGACACTGTTTACCTTGCCATACCTCAAAAATGTTAATGCAAATGCATCATATGACATTTTATCGTAACTGCGCTTATTATGCGTAATATTATGTGTTTAGCAACATTTAGCGTTTCAAATATACGGTGCAACCGGTGAGTTATTGGTGCATCTGCCATTTAATGTCGCACTTCACTTGTTTTAGTGACTGATTGATGACTGATATGCAAATCGGTATCGATTTTGGCGTTGATGAGATCACTATTAGAGCATCGATTGTGAAAATGACCCATTTGCAGCGGTTTTCGACCATAACAAAAACATGTCACGAGAATCACAATCGGCTGTTCTGGTTGAAATACCTGAGGACAGACACTTGTAAAGGACAGTGAGCATAAGCGGCGTGTACCTAAAAATAGAGGAAAAGGAAGAGAGAGAGAGAGAGAGAGAGAGAGAGAGAGAGAGAGAGAGAGAGAGAGAGAGAGAGAGAGAGAGAGAGAGAGAGAGAGAGAGAGAGAGAGAGAGAGAGAGAGAGAGAGAGAGAGAGAGAGAGAGAGAGAGAGAGAGAGAGAGAGAGAGAGAGAGAGATGAAGAGGGGAGAGAGAGGTCAGAAAGGCGTCAAGCGCCCGATCCACCACTCCCGTTGGGCCTGGGACCGGACCAGTGCAGTGACAGGCCGAACGTTGAGTGATAGGGGTGGTGACGGGATGAGCGGTGCACGGGACGTGACCCCAGCTGCACAGTGACACTGGCGGCTCTGACCCCGTTTTGTCAGCCAGTGCAAGTGTAGCATGAGTCAGACCAAACCGAATGCACGGATAGCACGGAGAGAGACGGGGGAGAGCATATTGTCAGCGCAGGTCCGGTGCGTGCGTCCATCTAGATCCGGCGGAAACGTAGACGTTCCATTCATCGGTATCCTAGGGTCAGCCGAGACGGAGATGGCCCACATAAACCACTCACTGAGCAGCTGTGACGTAATTCAGCGGGAGAGAGACGAGGATGTGGTGTGGAGGGGTGCCACGCCAATGTGTTCAGTCATGAAAACGGGAGGTTTCGAGCGACTTCATGATTCGAGTCGATGTAAAGATGTGATGTCATGTACCATTGTAGGTACACTGTGAGTGTATAAGATAAGAATAAATTTCAACTGAAGGTTGCCCTTTGGGCCGTATAACTGGTTTCTTTTCCAAGAGTTGCTAAATCCGTTTCGTGCTCATGTGGTTTTCTCGCATGATAAAGTTTCACTTCGAGCGACGAGTTGTGACACAACGAATGCTATGCGAACATGCTCATATGTATAACGGATTCTAAATACAGGGTAGCTAGTAAAATTTCTTGCGAATTTAGAATATTGGTCATATCCACTGAACTCTATAATGGTCATATCCGAGGAATATTGACGTTTGTACCACGTAGAAAACGTTGCTTGTTATTCAGCCCATTTATTTCTTTTGCATTTCTTCACCGGACAGCCAACTTAATCGCGTTATTTAATATCATGGATATAAGTACATCACATGACGAAAATCAATCAACTATGTTATTAATTGATGTGTCATAACACTGCCAAAGGGCCATTCACACCGTTCGCCGCTCAGTGTCGTCACTGACCCCGTTGTGGGTATCGGTCGTTGCACAGCGGTGGAGTATCTGCTTCGGACCCCTCCCATGGCCGCAGCGGCTCGAGACCTCTCTGCCTGTAACGGAACTACTCAAGCATGGTCTGCGGCGGATGACGATTTGCAATGGTGGCGTAATGGCTGAGCTGAGTGGTGTGAGTCCAAGGTGATCAGGCGGCAACAGGCGTTTCAGATAATTGTGGGAAACTGCATGGTTACATCTTGCATTCATGGCCAAGAGCTTACGGGCACTCCATTCGTTTCAGGACATGGTTTTTAGAGTAACCGTATTGGTCCGGTGGCCCACGTCGCGATCAAATGCCAACTAGTTTGCAGGGTCTCCAGATCCGATGTTCGCAACTATATGATCGTGTGTATTTCACAATGCTGCGATACATGGTGTTAGGCACCTAAATAGCACTACAGTCTCCGCGACGTATACGAGGACCAGTGTTATTGTTGTGTCCCTGCCGCAGTCTCCCCGGCCATTAGATGACCGGTCACGGTGCTGCTGACGTGTGCCTTACTGCAGTCTCCAAGGACCAGTCGTGAGACGTGGTGTTATTGATGTATGTATGCCCCAGTTATGCCCTACTGTAGTCCCCGTGCCGTATTTGAGGACTTGTGTTATTTTCGTGTGCCTAACTGCGGTCTCCAGTGCGAAGCCGCGAGATGTGGTGTTATTGTTGTATGCCATAGTGCATTCTCCCAGCGTATTGGGTTAGGCACCTTTCTAGCATTGCAGTCTCCACGGCCATTCAAGGCCCGGTGTTATTGACGTATGCGGCTTACTGCAGTCTCCGTCACGCATTCGCGGACTGGTGTTGTTGACTTGTGTCCTATTGCAGTCCCCACGGCTATTCGAGAATTGGTGCTACTGTCGTATGTCATTCTGCAGTCTCCACTGCGTGGCTGCGAGATGTGGTTATTGTTGTGTGCTTAGTGCAGTCTCCAGCGTAATGGGTTAGAGTTAGACACTTTGTCAGCAATGCAGTCTCCGCGGCGTATGCCAGGACTGGTGCTACTGGCGTGTGTCTCACTGCAGTCTACTCGTCCATTTCCGGCCCGGTGTCATTTACGTCTCTTGCAGCTTACTGCAGTCTCCGCAGAGCAGTTGGGTCACGTGGTCCCATTCACAGTCTCCAACGCATTGTGTAAGGTTTCTTATACTCGTATTTACTTCTTATATTTCTTTAATTCTTATAGTTGTGCAGTAACGAGATATGGTGCTATTTACGTGTGTCAAAGTGCACTCTCAGCCTGGTGGTATAGCTGCAGCGATGGGCTGCAGCAAAAGCCGGGTGAATTGAATAACTGAATTGAATTACACCATTTTTTTCGTGTGAAATTTGTTTCGGGTTAGAAGAATATCTTGTCATGATTGTCAGACCCCAGTTGTTTGGATGAATTGTTACGCATTTCTCTACCTTCCATATAGCACATAGGTATCTCGTTTCCCAATTTCACACACGTGTGGTAGAATGGTTATCGGTGGATAACATCAAATCACGAACCGTTACTGATAACAGTTCTTTCCATCGACCATATCGCTCGCAGATGCTGCTGCACTGCAAAGTGCACTCACAATGCTTGGTTGGACATCACATGCCCAGCTCAGCAGACCGTTTGAACTTCACTTTCAGCGTTGCCAAGTTGACCAGATACTTCAGCTGAGGAGTTCAATGCCCCCTGAAGTTTCGCCTTCGATGCCATGGAAAAAGGCTTTGTTGTCTATATTTTGGAATAGCATTGCTCAGACTGTTAGGGCATAACAGTGCTAGCGGAATATGTTGCCAATGTACTCGTAATGTCACGTTTTCGCGCGATGTTTGTAATGTTCCTTGCCTGTAAGCGTTGTTGACACGCCTTTCATTTCCCATTCCGGCAAATAAATGGCGAAACATTCTAAAAAACAGCCTGCAATTGTCAATTCACACTAAAGGGATGAAAACCTTCCTCTTGAGATTCTGTCACGCAGGTCTCGCCAACCAGCTGGGCACGGTAGACATCAAAGTGCATCTTCAAGGTCTGAAAGTGTATTGCTCCTTCGCGGCCACGAGTACAATGTGGTTATCCCTCGCACGCAATTGGATGAACTACAACGCGACACAAACAGGCATGACAAGACTGATCACATTCTTCACAAAAGCCGAACGCCGCAGCGTTCGCACCCGCCGCCGCTGCGTTTTCGACGTCACAAGTATATCATCAAATGGGCTCCCAGTGGCAACAAAGCCCGTGATCACAGACGCACCTCTCGACAACTACAGGACACGCTCAGCGTTCCTCGCCCATACACACCATCCGTGTGGCTTCTGTGACAACATCCGCGCAGGTAACCACAGGGCGCTCCCGACGGCTAAAAATGCACAGCCCACAAACAGTCTGACGTTACGGATGTGGGTGGATGCGTGTGGGGCACGTGCTGTCAGCTGGGGTTTCCGCGGAATTTCGAGAGTTCAAAAGGAAGCCGGCCGTGGTAGGCGAGACCGCGGCAGGAAACGTTTAATAATCGTCAGAGAATGCAGAAAAGAAGATTCTGTTCGACTGGATGGGCTCAAAGCATAAAGTCTATCAGTTGGAGTACAAATATCGTATGGACAGTAGACTGAAGCAGACGAGCAGAAATACGGAAGCTTGCATAAAATGTGTTAGGTTTGGAGTATTCCATAGTGCAATTATAACGGTGCTCCCTACAAGCCATCCATATACCTGGAATATTACTGGGCCAGTATAATTCAGAAAACTTTCGACCATCAAATCCGAATAGAGCTTCCCTAGTCAAAAAAAAAAAAAAGAAACCATAGCGTCACCCGACTTAGGTACTTCATCCCTTCACCGTCAGATGACACCACCTATACGCACTCCGCCGAGTGCCACATGACACAACCACGACCCACCAACTTCATCCCTAAAGCCGAGAATAACCCGCGGTCTCATCACCTTTTGCTCAGAGAGCCATGGCCAGCCAGCCGGCAATCAGCAGCATACCTCCGTACGGGGTGAAGCGCCTCACGGACTTATCACCGGTGAGGGCGTAGTAGTAGCACGTGCCGCTGAACACGAGGATGCCAGAGGAGAGCAGGGCGGCCACCAGACCGGGCCGGCGGCACAGCGGCGCGCCCAGCAGCGCCAGGCTGTGCAGCATGTGGTAACGGTTGGCCGTGTCGAATACCTGCCGACGGTGGAGGAATCTATGGTTATCTCCAGTTGTAAGAAAGATAATCGTTCGAGGTCTAACTACGCCGGGAATAAACTACAAAACACACAAATGGTTTTGGTATCGATAAAATCACATACGACACAACCAAACCACGTTAGCAGCTCCCACCATGACTTTCCTCTTTGTCCGATATTCAGTATTCTCTCCAAGGTGCAATTCACCCCGCGTTCAGAGTCTCTCGGACGACGAAGATTTTATACCGTCCGGCCAATCCCGTTCGAGGTCAGCAGGGGCAGGGCCGCGGTTATCGAACGTTATTGGCCGGACGGCGTAGAATCTTCGTCGTCCGGGAGACTGCGAACGCGGGGTCAATTTCTTGGAAGTGGTCTAACGGCAACATGCCGCATAGAAAATTGTTTCCTTCTGCTATCTGATCTGTCCACCACCCTCCACAACTACACACTGTGCCCCCTCCCCCTCCCAGCATCCAAAAACATCTGACCAATGAAAGTTCTTTGACTCTACCACCCCGCCGAGCCCTCACCTGGACCAGTTCGGGGTTGTGGTCTCCGGCGCGCAGCTTGTGGGCGCCATACGCCCCGAGCGCCACGGCCGCGGCGCCCGAGACACCGGCCAGCTGGACGGCAGTGCGGCCGCTGCTGCCCAGCAGCCAGCGAACCGGCGAAGACGGGTGCCGCATGGCCGGGGCCGGGCCGCGGGGCTGTGAGGGAGGGGTGCTGTCAGAGGGAGATGTGGGCGGGGGGAGGAGGGAGATGTCTAGAGAGGAGGCAGTCAGAGTAGGGACGCATGAGAATGAGGGGAAGTGAAGTGATATGGGTGGCTACTGGCTGGGACAACAGAAGGTAGGGAAATACATTATTATGGGAGGGGAGGAGCGGCAAATAAACAGTCATGTTGAGCTGATATTGATTGCTGTTGGTAGTAACAGTGCAAAATGGTTATAATTGACGGTAGGTAGCCTTAATGAGCCTAAATTATAACATAGGTAGCCTAAATGAGCTTTGAGCATTGAGCAGTGTACAAGATGTGAAATGTTTAACCAAATACAACAACAATTCATGTCTGGACACCTGTTGTGCTGCCCTAAATGCAGGTATCAAAACAAAAATTATGAACAGTTGACATGCACATTGCACATACACATGCATAGCAGATAAGCTGAGTAACTGACTTTGACTCAGTACATCACAAATACAGGACTCTGCAGTCCACAACACAGAAGACATCATGAGAGCAGTTTAAAAATAGCTTGGCTGGCTGCACTGTTCACAGTCCACACTGTCTGTAAGGTAGGCTCCAAAATGCAGCAACCCACCTGTCTGGAACAGTGAGAAGTTGCGTAGCCAGCCAATTGGTTGGCTCCAGACCAAATGGACTTCGCCAGTGAGTTGTCAACAGCAATCCAACGCAAAGTATCAGATGCAGCCTCCATCAACACCTGAAAATTGAGAGGATTTACAAACAAAGCACAAGGGAGCTTCACTATGTCCAGCTGCAGCAGGTACCTATTTCAGTTCAAATTTTGTAGGCTACCTGATCTTGCAAGTTTTGCAAAAAGTTACATCAATAACCGGTGAAAGTACCGACCCTGGCCCTGTAACCTCATTTGATTGTATGCCCGGGCCGTAGTTTGAGGTCTCCACTATCCAGTTCAAGTTAGCATGATCCAGGATCAGGATCAAATGGCAATGACACAGGCAATTAAATGACTAAGCAAATAAAAACCAAGATCCTATAAACCAAAAAAAAAAATAATAATGCTCTAGGCTGGAAATGATCATAAATGACTGTTAAAATGCCTAGGTTAAAACAAAAGATTCTTTTCTGTTAGTCAAAACTCAAATATTTGACAAATCTGCTTGATAAACTGTAAAAAAATTCTCATTTCAAATTCAACATTTTGGGTTAGTCGGTCATAAACCTTACACCCACAATATCATCAGAAAAAGACAACTTTTCAGGGAATCTTCGATTCGGATTCGCCAATGAAATCGGCGTCCGTCCCATTTATTATTATCAGTGGTTTCCGCATGCAATAGAATGAGAGATAAACGATAATTATCGCTGTTAAGTAACCGGTTATCGTTATCGTTTATCGCTAAATTTTCAAAATTATTGCTCATCCACTTATCGCAAGTTACAAAAATTATGAACGATAAACGATAAAATGTAAACGGGATGATGCAAAAATGGCAGACGATTGACAGTGTATGTCGTGCGACAGTATGTGTGTACAACCTGTTGCCATCTGCTTAGTGTATAGATCTGCAAATAAACTTAAAGTACACTTATTTAAGCTGTATTTCTTATCGCTTTTGTTATCGCTGTTAAAAAACAATTATCGTTATCGTTGTATCGTTTATCGTTTCGTTATCGCTGTTAACAAAACAATTACCGTTATCGTTTTATCGCTATCGCTGTTAATTTTTTGCAAATTTTTATCGTTTATCGTTATCGCAAGCCTTACTTATCGTTTTACCGTTATCGCAGGTCCGAAAATAAGTTATCGCGGAAAGCACTGATTATTATTATTATTAGGTATACGGCTCACGGTTTACGGCTCATAGAATTGTGTTCATATAATCCCTACTAATCAAACTCTGTCAACTACGATGACGTAAATGTTCCCTTCATCAGCAGCATTGAATCGACTGTGACCACAAGACTTAGAATTCAAGTGATATTCTACGTAGTTTATAGCATGAAATATTGATTTGATGAACAAAACATAAAAATGTGATAAAAATGTTGGCTAAAAAAAGTTTATATGACGTCCTAGCTGCCGAGAGTACGGAAACTCATGTCAAGTATTCGGTTTTGAACACACTGAAAATCATAAAAAATTGTATGATGAAATATATCTTGCGAAAAAAATGTAGATTTTACTATTTAACCATCTATAAGATCTTCAAAAGTTTTTAACATGAGTATTTTTTCCATTTAAAACTGAAAATTATTCGTTTTTGAACTTTTCAGATCATTTCAAAAAGGAAACAAAGCTTTTTTGGAAATGACGTCATATAGAGGAAATATCTTTAAGTGTGTTCCAAAAATTGCGTCCCAGTGACAATTTCTGCAATTCCCATTATAGAGTTCAGTGGCAATTCCGCAAATCATTGAAATGTTATTTGTATTGCCTTGAGCAGAGGATTGGAGCATTTGTGAATCAGAATCAGCATATCGGGGCGTGCTATTTTCTGGATTAATATCAATATTAAAATACCAAGGCCCTCTAACCATCAAGGCAAAATACAAGCGAGGGTGAGTTCAGGGAAATGGGAATGGCCGCAAATATTGCGGGTAGTATTATCAGTATCTACTTCATCCATGGTATTATTTACTTACTTACTTCTAATGGCGAAACATCACTTTTATCAATTTGATCATTCTCAGTGCAATCAATAAAACTGTAAAAGCTGGTAGTGTCAGTCTACTTTCAGATCAGGTTAGTTTCATTTTGGTGGAACCCATTTTTAAACAATTTTAAGACAACCTGATAAGTGATAACTGATTTTAATTTTCTTCATGACCATATCAGCACTAACCAGTATTGTGTGTTTAGAGCCTGGACAAGTTAAAGCGGTAGCCACTGGGCACCCTCATATTTTGGCTTTGTATCTTGATCTTGGAAACTTAGGTACCTATGTATATGAACTTAAAATGTATTTAGTGAGGGTTCCTCGCTCATCATCACTGCTCGTCGTCATCTCTCATCATCATTAGAAAGGGTTGGTGATTAAAAGTTCTATGGGACTTGGGAGATAGGTTAGTATTGCCTGTATTCTTCAATGTGTTGAAAGAACAAATTTAGTTGATAGTTCATTGGCATACAGCAGGGTTTCAAAATTCTAAGTACTTGTAATTCTGTCCTCATCCTTATTCTACTTAAAGGAAATAGTTCACTTTTAACATGGGATTTTGAACTGGAATAGCAGTGTCGTAGCTTGAGCTGAGACTAGCACAAATCAGGAGCTTTTACGGCTCAACGATCACCCTAGACGAAGATATTCCATTTCTCGTTCCGAAAAGAGTGCCTTGCAGAGGAATGTGTGCCTTGCACAGGAATGCAGCCACGTCATCGTCAGCCAATCAGCATGCTGCTTACAGCTAATGCAGCATGCGTAGGTTTGAACTACGCAATATGATTGGTCAACGCGTAATAAGCTTCCGCGTCAAACATTATTTTACATAGAATATAGTTCGTCCTATATTAAAATATAGAAAATAATTGTTTTTACAAAAAGGTTTTATTTTATTTTCTGATCATTTTGAGCATAAAAAATCGTAAATCCATAGCAAAATACTAATTTCAGGAAAGTGAACTGTTTCCTTTAAACTCACCAGTATTATAATGTACCTATATGTCTAGTTCATAATGTAGGGTTGGTGTTGCTGTGTAGTTGCTGATGGTAATCATTTGTTTTATTCCACAGTTAAGCTAGTTAGTCATGCTGCCAACCCAACCACAAGAAGACTCCACTGGTAAGCCCCTGGAGCCTGTTGCAGTGCCAGCAGAAGGCTGCCTGGGGCAAGATAGAGTCGATCTGCTTGCGCGTCTCACGGGAACCGTCAGCCGTCCCGTCATGCGTCGGGCGCGCAGCTGGCCGGAACTGGCAGCCGAGCCGGCGGCGCCGCCGCCGCCCGACCGGCCGCCGCTGGCGCCGCTGATCCTCCAGATCGACTACGCTCCGCCGCCGGAGGAGGGGGCGCCCAGCCGGTGGCGGCGGCGGTACAGCGAGCGCCTGACGCGCCGGAGAAGGCCCACCACGCCCGCAGAACCCGCGGCCGCAGCCGCAGCCACAGGCACAGGCACCTTAGCGGCCGCAGTGCGGACGGATGTGAAACCTCCGGAGAAGGATATTACGGACTCTGCAGCGCCAGCCGCGGACAGTGCATCGGTTGGCGCATGTAAGCCTCCCGTTGGGCCCTCGCGGCCTCCCGCCGCCTCTGGTCCTACCGCTGCCGCCGCGCAGAGCCGGCCGACGGGCGCCGTACCGAAGAGGCCGACCCACGGTCGCTCCCAGTCGGCCACGGTGCCCGCCTCCGTCACAGCCGCCGCCATCGCCTCGGCCGTAGCCACGTACGCAGGCGCTGGACCGGCGCGTGTAGCCGCCTCACCGTCCGGCGGCCGGCGGCTGGTGCGCGCGGCCACCACCTCGTCCCGGCCGCCGACGCAGCCCGCAGAGGAGACGCTGCCCTCTCCGTCCGAGCACGAGCAGCTGGGCTTCATCCCCCGCTCGCTGCCGTACCGAGGCCGTCACGGGGAACACTACCCTAGCTTCGTTGAGTCGGGCGGCGGCCACTCGCTGGTGTACGGCTTGGACGGTTACTTTCCGAAGCCGCGCGACGGTCAGTCGCTGACAGACTTCCTCGGCTCACACGAGTTCAAACGGAACGTGGCAGAGCTGGACCGGGAGAACGCCCACTTCCGGATATCGGAGTCGCTCATCGCAGCCTTTGAGATGGTCGGATCAGAGGTAGGTAATGACTGACTCATAAGCATTCCCGATGTATAACGCCATTTGTTGTCGGGTGTTGCATATTTCGTTTTGGTTGAACTTCTTAATTGTATATGTTAATTGTATATCATTCAATTATAATCAATTACATCATAAACAGTAAACACATTACATATACCTCTCGGCTTTGGTGTGATTGCGTTGATCTGCGTGACATGGTTTAGTTACGATTGCCGTTGTCTTTCCGTCGTCGCCAGTCCCCTGCCTACTATCTTGTTTACTACCGATCGCCTCGGTGTTTACGGCTTACAGCTCGGCAATTGACCCGCGTGTACCATTGCCACTCGTGTCATATTTCAGACGCGTTTATCACACAACCGAACAATGAACCCAGTTTACAAACTCCACCATCATGAAATCAGGCTCACACTTAGGTCCACCCAGGGCGGGCACTAAAGGTCCACCATTACACAGCGGTCCGTTCCCCTATCACGCGACTTTGTGTGTCTAATTCCCGCTCGCTCGCGTCTCCCCTCCGGCAGATGCGAATGTTATCAAAGTCCGGGGGAGAGCGGCGTCGGTCGAACCCGACAGCCAGTATCGGCGACCTGCGGCGGCGACTGGTGGAGCGAGGGGCGTCGGGCGCCTCCGACCGGGAGCGACTCATCAGCGACAGTGAGTCACGTGACCGGGAGGGGGCGGGGACAGCGAGCCGCGCAGGATGTCACGTGTGCAGCACGAGGTGGAGGCACGCTGCGCTATGCGGCGGGCACGGAGCGAGGGATGGTGTTTTTGGTCAGGGTGAGTCATGCTGTGTTTGTGGTGAGTCATGTGGTTGAATAGGGCGCAGACTCGAGTTCAGTAGGTGTAAATGTCGGTGAATGGCATGGTGACAGCTGACGCCTGCCGTGGCGTTTTGTTTAAATATCTCATTACGTAAGCAAAAGATGAAACAGTAGGAATCGTAAGATTAGGCACTGTATCGAATTAATTATGATCAGACCGGTTTCGGTGTATTAACACCATCATCAGTGAGTAAAAATACAAAAAACATACAAATACATCGCAATCATTCAGTCGTTCGTAATATATGCATTCGAGACACTAATACAAGAAACAAGTACACTAATTCGTGCTACACAATACGCATGACAGTTATATTTGGACGCCTCTGTTGTATGAAGCGTCACTTATAGGTCACTCATAACACGATATTGAGTGGCAGCGCAGAGTTTTGGGAATTCAGTTTTGGTCTATGTTTGTGGATGTAGAGAGACTCTAATAGCCTAAGGTCAAGCTCCAGGTAACTCCTCTGCAGAATTGTAAAATCGTTAATTGAGAAGGCGGTGCCACACTCATCAGAGTGGTCTTTAACTGAAGAGGGCTTTGGGCTAAATACCATTAAGCCAGTGCGGTCAGAAACCCCCATGTGCTGGCACACTCTAGTAGTGAGGCGTACATGAGTGGACCCAATGTACGACTCCCCACACGAGGAGCAACAAAACTGGTATACAACACCAGAGCGGCAAGCTTTGGGAACCCTGTCTTTGAAGCGGAAGATAGAACCGATGGTGAAGGTGTTTCTTAGAATCACCTTGGGGTCAAGATAGGGATAGAAGGACGTCAGTAAAGTTATGAGGTCTTTTCGCAGGCTAAGGGATTGTGCACCAAAGTAAGGTAGTACTAGGTACTTCTCCAGCTTGGGCACGATGACTTCGCTCGATATTGCTGCATATTGTCTGTCAAGGAACTTTCTAACATGAAAATCAAAAATGTTTGTTGGAAAGCCATTGTTTTGAAAGAACTTTCGTAGGAACTTGAGTTCGCTGTCAAACAGTTTAAAATCAGAGCAGAGCCGGAATGCCCTGAAAATGGCAGATTGCATGACAGCCTTCTTAACAGTCTGAGGGATGAAAGTAAAAAAACTCAAACCCAGACCCGTAAAGGAGGGTTTCCTATAAACTGATGTAACCAGTCGTTCTCCCGCTTTTTGGACTTGCACATCTAAAAAAGGAAGGGATCCGTTCTTTTCTACCTCTTTTGTAAACCGTATCTTTGGGTGACGGCCATTCAAGAAATCCAGAAACTTGTCTACTTTGGACTGGTCGTCAAAAAT